ATTAATTATAACTTCCTAACTTTCTTCTTCTTCTTCTACATGGAATTATTTGTTTATTTCATTGATTTTGTGATTTGTTCTTTCAAGTGATCGCCCTTAATGCCCTGTGTTCTATGCATTCTTCGCAAAGTGAATGGACAGAGGAAGGTGGTGACCCGTGTTCTCCTACCACCTGGGATTGGGTGGTTTGCAGCTCTACTACACCACCAAGGATTACCAAAATGCAAGTTCCTATGAACCCTTCTCTTAATATGCACAAATATAATAGTTGCTTGCCACTATATAAAACCATGGTTATTGTCGTTGCTTCATGTAACCGTGACAACATATTTGAATGCTTTATGAATAAGCATAAATGTGATTGTAAATTACACAAATTGCGATTACTGTTTCGTACTTTAGTTAGTGAACCTGTGTTGTTGAGGTGGTCGGTGACTTGAGAAATTACAGAAGCACAGAGTTTCATTTCTAATTCTATCTTCTCTTTCAAACACGTGTAATTAATGGCCGACTCTTTTGAAAACAGTCATCTGTCAGGGAAGAACTTGAACGGCGAAATCCCACAAGAGCTTCAGTACATGGACGCATTGACAGAATTGTAAGAGTGCCTATAAAATTTTTCTTTTCGACTTCTCCCTATGGCTAATTTTGTCAATTTTGTTGAACTTCTCTAGGTGGCTAGATGGGAACTTGCTCAACGGGTCAATCCCTGACATAAGTGGCCTTGTTAATTTGCAAATATTGTAAGCTCTACATTCGCAAGCGGTTTTATTTTCTTAAAACGAGCTATTGTATATCCCATTTTTCTTAGCTGCATGTTGCTTGAGACGTGCAGGCATCTAGAGAATAACCAATTAACCGGCCCATTGCCTTCGTACTTGGGTAACTTGCCGTGCTTGCTGGAATTGTAAGTAGCAATCCAAATAAACTTTTTCATTGATGTCTTGTATATTTGAACCTCTGCAATCTGCAGTTGCTTCGTATTTATTCTTACAGGTACATACAGAACAACTCTTTGAGTTCGGAAATTCCATCATCGTTGTTAAGAGGAAACTTATCTTTCAGGTGACTGCTGCTTATGATGAAAAGAGAAATATTATAAGGTCCCTCTAAAACATAGATAAAAAGCTTGTGCCAAAAAAAAAGGTAGATGAACAAACAAAAATTCAAATACCTGATGATATCAAACAATAAAAAGGTCACCGATAAATTAACATTAAACTAAGAATTTATAGAATCAGCCATAACATCATTAATGTGGACTGCATTTTTCTTATGCAGATATGAAGGAAATCCTCGTCTTAGACGAGTGACAAAAACACACACCACCAAATTAATACTCGGGGCTTCAATTGGTTTTCTGGCTCTTCTTATTCTATCCACTATAATCATACTTGTGCTTCGTCATTCTAAAGCAAAGACAACTTCACATAGGAATAGCAAAGGTCTTCTGTTCCCACACAGATTGATCTTATATATATATTATATTATTTTTTTTTCTCAAAGGTGATCCTGACGATCTCAAGTTTTGTTCTGCTTGACCAGAAAATTCATGGCGTTTCAGCACTCAGCCTTTGACCGCATATTCAGTTGCACGGGGAGGATCTTTAATGGACGAAGGTGTATCATACTACATTCCACTGGCTGACTTAGAACAAGCTACAAATAATTTTTCAAAGCAAATTGGGAAAGGAAGTTTCGGACCAGTATATTACGGGAAAATGAAAGATGGAAAAGAAGTTGCTGTTAAAACCATGGCTGATTCGTCTAGTCACGGGACCAAACAGTTTGTCACAGAGGTAAAGTTGCATATCACATGCTGTCTACAAATACTAAAAGAGTTTACACATCAAATGTTAAACCAGAAAATAATTGGTACACTTACAGGTGGCGCTGTTATCAAGAATTCATCACAGGAATTTGGTCCCGCTGATTGGATTCTGTGAGGAAATGCAGCAGCGCATGCTTGTGTACGAGTACATGCACAATGGGACCTTACACGATCATATACATGGTTTGCCATAACTCAACACTCTTTGTTCATCAACTTTAGTTGTATGATTATGGATATAACCATAAGAACCTACCACCAATAACTTGTCCACAGATCCTGACAACCAGAAGCAGTTAGACTGGCTAGCACGTCTTAGGATTGCAGAAGACGCAGCTAAAGGTAGCTCCATCTTGTTTTTCCTCTGTTTTTCACATTAATTCTTAATTTGATTGTTAATAATAATAATAATAATAAATAATAATAACAGGTCTTGAGTACTTGCACACTGGATGCAACCCCAGTATAATTCATCGGGACGTGAAAACAAGCAACATTCTTCTAGATATAAACATGAGAGCAAAGGTCTCAGATTTTGGACTGTCGAGGCAGGCCGAAGAAAACCTCACGCATGTATCAAGCGTGGCCCGAGGAACAGTGGGCTATGTTGATCCAGAGTAAGCATGCACACACACAACATAATGACAAACACATAAGTCATTCAACCGTAGATACCACTGACCGTGTTGTTCAACCAGGTATTATGCAAATCAGCAGTTGACAGAAAAAAGCGATGTGTACAGCTTTGGAATTGTTCTGCTGGAGCTTATATCAGGGAGAAAGCCTGTGTCAACAGAGGAATATGGTTCTGATTGGAGCATTGTTCACTGGGTATGCACACTTTAACATCTATCACAACCATTTTATTTTTCTTGTCGCCTCTCTTGAAGTTTTAACAATTGCTAATATAGGTAAGAAAAGAAAAAAGCATTGAGGATAATAGAGAAAATAAAGCACAAAAATAAGGTGGTCACACCTAATTAGTTTGAGCTTCAGATATTATTACATTAATATAAAACCAAACCAATTCCAAAGTACATAACTGTCTCAAGATGCTGCTGGTTGACTTAGTAAAAGGAATAAAAAACAAAGAGAAACTAACAACCTCGAAAAGATAAATATACAATTAAAGAACGAATAAGATACACTAAAATAGTATAAAAATAGTCTATAAGTTCGGACATGTTGAGTAAAACCAATCAATCAATTAATGGAACTACAGAAGTTTGCAGAGTACGAGCAGTTTCCTTGTAACATCACACGCTCATTTCATCCATCATGTTCCTCTCACGGCTTAGAAGCTTGTAGTTGGCACTTAACTTTGTATTGTTGTGTACAGGCCAGGTCATTGATCCGCAAAGGGGACGTGTTGAGCATAATTGACCCACCACTTTTGGGGACACTCAAAGTTGAGTCCGTCTGGAGAATAGCCGAAGTTGCGATCCAGTGCGTGGATCAACACAGCTTGTCCCGGCCACGCATGCAGGATATCATATTGGCTATACAGGATGCCGCCAACATCGAGAAAGGAAAGGATAAATTAGCTTCATCAAAAGCCCAGTCCTCGAGAAAAACACTCCTCACTAGCTTTCTCGACATCCAAAGTCCCGACCTTTCTAACGGATCCTTATTCCCATCGGCTAGATAACAACTAACTTTTTTCTTTTACGGCTTTCACACTTTTATTAGGGAGGGAACTGATCTTTGTTCCTGTTAAAATGTTGTATAACATGTTACAGTGAGTAACCTTGGATGCAGGGAAATGTAACTTAAAGAAAGAATCTGGTAGCTGAATGATGAGATGGAGTTGCACTTGCCAATATTAATGTTTCTACATTTTCTGCTCGACCCAAATGATGAAAACAATGTGATTAATATAATTATTTTTGTTTTCTTGTGAAATAAATTGTGTTTAAATTTAAAATCAGTTGTTGGGAAAATTGATCCTGTGATCGATTTTCATAAAATTGCATGTGAGCAGAGTTGTTCTTCATGCAAAGCACAAGAGACGCCTTTATGTTTTTCACGTTTTTCGCCTTACGCTTTAAGTATGTGGTTCTATTAGTGATAAAATATGTCGTATGTCTAATGAAATGGTATCGTTCAGTTCAGGTTGCATGATAAAATATGTCGTTATGTCTAATAAAATATGTCGCTTTGATGGATTAACAAAATTTTCCACTGGAATTTTCTCTGTTTCTTTTTCCATGTTACGTCATGATATTCAACATGGTATCTAGAGCAGTCATGATATTCAACATGGTATCTAGAGCAGGTTCGATCGCGAAATTCTTGATCCAATTGAATAAGAGAGAGCATAGATCTAAGCTTTGAGAGTGAAAATTTCATGTTGATAATCGGAAATGGAGCAAAGGTGAGAAAATCCATGGCCATTGTTGAATGCAGCTGGAAGCTCGGGATCAAGGTTGCTGGAACTAGGGCTGACATTTTTTTACCGAAAACTGAAAACCGAACCGAACCGACCATAAAATAAACCAAACCGTACCGACTTATTTATAACGGTAACCGATTATAGATTACCGACTTATTATCGGTTCGGAAACCATAAGATTCGGAACTGAACCGATAAGGATAAAATAAAAAAAAAAAA